CATGTGAAAAGATTGTTCATCAAATAATATTTTGTAGTCTTGATTTAGTAAGATAAATAATAAATATAAAGGAGAATTAACGTCTGTTGGTTGTAAAATTACCGAATGTCACATGGAAAACCCAATGGAAAATAAAACTTAGCCAGCATTAGACCTCAGAGTGCGCGCCAATCAGAACACAGTAAAGTGTGTTAAAGGTTAACCTCGTGTCAAATGTTGAAAAGCTGTGAGCAACAGTGAGTAAAAAACAGAGTAAATGCGGTCTAGCATGACTAGCCTTAATTCGGCAAGGTAGTGATTTCTATACTTCCATTTAGTATTGGATCGCTTTCCAGGTTGTTCTGCTTCAAATTACGGTAAACAATAAACAACGTGATCTGTAGAAATCGTAATAATTTGTACATGATTTGTCATCAGTATTATTTAAAAGAAGAAAATTCCTACTACCAGAAGAATAATATCAGATCAAAATTCTCCGAATTGGAAAGTTTACCAGTATACTGTCTGCTCTCCTCCTCTATAGGGGAAAATGTAGGCCGTACGTAAGCCTAAATTACATCGAAATTCGAACATACTGAATGCCCACTTGGTTACCCACCCAGCTAGCGAACTAAACACAGTTTTAAAACATGATCGATTTAATAATAAGGTAGGATATACCAAAACAATAAAGTTCTAACATTGTTTATTTAGTAAATTGCAACATTGCTTACGTGTTGAAAGCTGGTAAACTATATTTCAATATTGTTTACGCATTGATTATCAGCCCGACGATCCAGCCTACGATCATTGCAAAGCTAATTAAAATAGCAATGACCTTCGTAGTGGTTTGTAGCTACGTTCCAAACGGTACCTACGAGCAGGCTACGAGTGGTTACGCGCAGATACGAAGCGATATTTCCTGACTGTACTGTAATACCAACCGGAAAAAAGGCGAAGAAAAAGATTGGCAAGAAATATCGTCCACAGATAGTGTAACCAGTCCATGCAGCCCAGGAGCTAATGCAGATGCCGCTCAACATACTTGTAATAGCATTAACGCAACAACAACTACGAATGACACAAAGGCTACAGTAGGTATTATCATGGAGAGGATTGAAAAGTTGGACATGCTAGACATGATTGATAACCAACTGGATAATATTTGAAAAGAAATGTTCGTAATGAAGAAAAAGATACACGAAGTTGAAGACATTAATTATGTCATCATCATGAATGAAATCATTCCTGATGATGACATAATTAATGTTGAAATATTGAATCCCAACACGATGGCGTGTATTTCAATACTTGGAGTGTGTATTATACTTTCTTATCTGAGATTAATCAGTGGACCTTTCGGTTTTTGGAAAACACATTTATGATAATAATAGTTATTTATATAGTATAACCACAAGCCTATATTATGTGTGTATAATGAATTTTATGGAATTTATTTGGTATTTCTCTCTTTATGCGGACAATATATTACAAGCATATATTTTCTCATGAGAAATAACCATCAATGATAAACTTTAGATAAAGCTCTACTCATTTGCTGTAAACTACAAAGGATATTGCGCTCAGTAACAACAACAATCTGAGCAAACTAATCATCCTGATTGTTTATACCGTGACTAGAGCTATTGTTCAGATTAGGCCTATAGTCTTCAAGCCTTATTTGCGTGGCCTTCAATTGGTCAGTTGGACATTTCCCCCACCCATGATTTTTCTATTGGTATACCAGAGCTATATATGATCATACATTTGGCTTAATATCTTAAAAACAACAAATTGTGAGAGGTCTATGCCCATTTCTTATAGCGGTAGCAGCATTAACATATTCAACATGTTAATAATAATAGCTTATTATCGCTATTTTCATCATTGTCACTATATATATGTTCATTATTATTTCCACACTCAAAGGCAACTCAATTAAATCAAATTTTTAAAAAATCTGTTCAAATTATATGACTACAAGAATTTTAAGTCATGATGTTCTGCCTTCACAAAAAATGTAAAACAACGTACACACATACACACTATAATACAGTACATACTCAGAAAACATATAGATATATACATATGTATACATACAAATAAAGATAGAACGCTAATCAGGAAGCTAGTTCACATGTGTGCCTTTCATGATGGTTAACGAATTGTCGTTGTTTACAACCAATCCATTCATCATTCAGTAAACATAGTTTAGCAAAAGTGCCGAGAGTAAAATTTCTGCAAATACAATACATAGGCCTACTATACAACTATGGGTGGCAACGGGCCAGGTGGCAAAAGGCTGGGTGGCAACGGGCTAGGTGCCAAAAAGGCTGGGTAGCAACTGGCCTACGGTGGAAACAGACAAGGTAGCAACTTTCCGGGTGGCAAAGGGCCTATGGTGGCAACGGTCCGGGTGGCAAAAGGGCCTAGGGTGGCAAAAGGCCGGGTGGCAACGGGCCTAAGGTGTCAAAAGGCCGGGACGTGGCACAGGACTTGGCAACGGGCGGGGTGGCATGGGACTTGACAACGGGCGGGGTGGCAAAAGGCCGGGTGGTAACAGGCCGGGTGGCAACAGGGCCTAGACCCGGAATATTCAAACATGCCCCTTCCAAGGGGCTAAAGTTATAGTACCTGAGGATTTTACACCAAAATTATTAGCAGAAAAAAAAAACTATGGAAGAAGCTGTGGAAACTCTTACAGCAAAATCCAAAAAGAAAGGTATTTATTAACTATCCTGCTAGTCTTTGTGGAAGCAGTACCTCAATAAAAGCAAATGAAATTAAATAAACAAGTATTGTTGATGATCTACTGTATGTTTATTGATGTTCTCTTCACAGCATGTCTTTCTATGGGATATTGGCTGCAATATTTTCCTTGAAAATATACACAACTAAGTGACTGACCGCACAAACACATTACGGACCTTGTTGACCGATGAATTAAGCATGGTCACCCTCTAGGCAATCTACATCATTGTGACTTATGAGGAAAGTTAATGTATCTCCTTTTGTGTATTCTACTATGTTTTGTTTGTTATTTTTTCATTTTTATTTTTTTTTATCCTTTTGATACAGGCATTGTTTGCGGTTAAACATATGTAATCTATTGCTTGCTTGTTTTAATGACTGATTTGAAAATATGTTCCCTGGATGTAAAAGGAATATTAGAGAGAGAGAGAAAAAAAAGAAAGAAATGAGTTACTTCTATGGTGAAAAGAGAAAAAAATCTCTCCTTTATGTTTTTAAAGAAACTCATAGCTCTTCTAAATATGCCAATTATTGGCATGAAGAATTGGGTGCATCTGTTATCTGGAGCCATGGAACTTTAAATAGTAGGGGTACCGCAATTGTTTTAATAACAAATTTTCACATACTGTTTTGAAAAGTATAATACATCCAAATGGGTATTATATTAATGGTATTTTGGTATCACAGGTACTTCTACATGGCATTCTATATATTGAATTCCAGTGCATCTCGTACATTCCCGGCGTATCTTTAATTCAATTTCCCCCTTCTTTTGCACTTTGGGAATTAATATACTATTAATTATATTATTCATTCATTTCACTTTATTAAAAAATACACATAAAATGGGTTGCAAGTCATGGCGCGAACGCCAAACAAATTGTATATGAAAGCATTGAAAAAGGATTAAAATAGCCATTAATTGTAGATAAATATAAATGCAATCAATATTTGTGAAAGTAAAAACTTGTTTTGACATACTGTACCAAAAGTTATCTTCCCTCAAGTAAACTGATACCGTCAACATGTCAATGACCCTGTTAATTGGAGGACCTCTGACGTTTTTTGGGGGTTTTTTTTTTTGGTTTTTTTTAGCACACTGTCTCCACTGACAGAATATAGCAGATCACTAGACAATGGGTATTTTTATCTTTCTCCTAATGTGTTTTTATCTTTACACTTTAATACATAGTCCTAGCCTATATGCCTTCACACGGCTGTTATTTGTGAATATTATGTTAATCCCTTGGCTATGGGTGTTTTTTTTTTAACTGAAGATTAGGTTGTATTGTATTTGTAAACACGAGAAAATGACATTGCCTAGGAACGGGGCAATAATGTAGAATTGATCAAAAGACAAGGTCTAGCTATAGACCGGTCGGATTTGGAGGAAGGTGTCACATTTCTGCAGAATTTACTAGACCAACTTTTTCTAATGTATTTTTTTACGTAGATTACGAATCTGATTGTTGATCGGGACGGGGAGGGGGCTTTTTCGAGATATTAGCAGTTAAAATCTTGATTTTTATCGATCGAGACCCGATCGCGAATCGTCGTAAATTCGAGACTTTTAACAATAGAGGGCGGCATTTTTCATCACTCGTAAAGGTAAGTAGCTTTGATATTGTGGTTGTTAACTGTGAATTTTATTTATTTAAATATTGAACTCATGCTAACTCTTATTTGTTTATGTGCTAAAATGATAATAGTAATAGCCTGTAATTTGGAAAAAAGTTTATTAATATTTTTTTCTTCGTATTTCAGTGATCAAAGAAAAGCAAGTCTAGGCCCCAAGTGAAGGTTACCGACTCCCGATGAAGGCAACGCGGAGACGTGTACAGTATGTGTATTGTACCAAAAAATCGTGCTGTAGGCCTATAAAA